AGCAAGCGGGATTCCGGCCTGGTAGGAGGTTGCATTGACCAAATCTTCACACCTCGTCAGGTGCTAGAACAACGCCATACGTATAAGCGACCCACAATGCTAGTATTCCTGGATTTCCAAGTCGGCTGTTCTTCTTGACACGCTTGCTCACCAAGGAATGCCTCGGAATTTGGTGAACATAACAACCTCTGTTGTATTCCCAGACTTCCGGATGTATGAGAGTATATGGCGAACTCTCTAAATCTTCCGTACAAAAAGCATTATCCGTTGGAGATGCTCACTCTACATTTTTCTTTAACATCGTGATCGATGGAATCATGAGATGAACGCTGGAAGGTCCCCAAAACCCCGGCGTTCAAAGGCCTGTAACTAAAACTTTGTTGATCTGGAATATGCAGACGACGTCCTTCTCGTCCTGGAAGAGGAGGAGAGGTGCCCGCAGAATGGGACACGTCAACTGTTATTCCGTCCTTAAAAAGGGTATGCGGACGATGTGCGAAAATCACCCTGGCATCAGCCCGGTAGCTGTAGTATCCGAGGTGCTCTCTGGTCTTATCCTTTAAAGATTGACTAAACGCAGTGAGAGACAGATCTGTGGAAACCAAGCTGGTTTCGTCCTGCAAAAATATGTGTAGATCACATCTTCCCCTTCCGACACTGCGACAATGATACTGCTTCCAGCAACCAACAGTGGTGGTCGTTCTGGACTCGATAGCTGCTTTTGATTCTGTGGACCGTCAAGTACAACGACAGTGCCCAGAGCAAAAGTGTCCCCCGTAAATTACTGACCCTTCTTGAGGTGCCATATGCCAACCCCTGCGGATGTGTGAAGGTCTACGGGAAGCTCTCGTCTGAGTTCACCACATCAAGTGGTGTCAGGTATGGCTGTCCTATTTCACCTTTCCTCTTCAACTTTACGACTGATACGATTATGGAAACCTCACAACTAGCCTCTAATGCGTGTGGAGTCGAAGTGCTCCCGAGGCGTCTGCTCACAGATATCGATTACACAGACGACGTAGCTCTTCTTTGATTTGACGCCGAGGTAATGCAAACGGTATTTAATGGCTCAAGGTTTGGCATGTGCTTTACACCTGTAATGTTTAGTGTTAGTGCAAGACTGCATGGGCTCGAAGCCTAACCTGATGTTTCCCGATGAGTCGATTTAAAGGTATACGAGTTTGTCCACCTGGATAGCTGTTTCAGTCCCTGTCGTCTCGCGAAAGATGATATTTCCATCCGATTTGCGATGGCCGGAACAGCTTTTGCGAAACTGCATCGCGTGTGGTGTAGGTGTGGCATAAGCTTATCCGTCAGGCGTCCAGTTTACAATGCTTCGGTGCCATGCGCATCACTATACGAATCAGCAACGTGGCCGCTGCACACCGAAGACGTCAAGACTATCAGCTTTTGACCATAGGTGTCTTCGGGGCATTGTCCGAGTCTGGTGGAACACCGGGTCAGCAATGCCGAAATACGTCGAATGGTTTTCGGAAGAACTCACCCGCCCATGATGGATGAACTGATCACACCCCATAGGCTGCGCTGGCTTGGTCAAGTACTGCATATGCCAAGGGTCTTTTTCGCACAACCATGCGAAGTGTGGAAACCAGTCAGAGAAGGTCAAACAGTGCCTTGACAGACAAGTGTGAAGGCCATTACCAACAAACTCAGCTGCGTTGGTCATTACCATCTCCCTGGACAGGAAGATATTGTCAGACATGGCCCAGTCGTGCCCTCAATGGCGCTCATGCATCCAAGCCATTGCCTTCGGTGCATAGCTCCCTTCCCAATCTCTCCAGTTAACAGTCCACTGACAACATTGCATTTACGCATCAATTACGTCAGCTCCCGCCTCCAATGCGCAGCTACCTACCACACCCCTCCAAATCATCGATGAACGAAACTGTGGCTGGTAATGATGATGATGGTAGGTAGGCGAAGTGAGGCTCATCATAAGTAAATCTTCCTGAATCTATGGAAACGCCGAATTTGGCTACCATGAACGTTCTTTTTCGTATGATATTGCAGCTAGTCTCAGGCTTTTTGTGGCTCACGTCGTTGCTTCGAACCTCTTCACACACTTTAGTGCAGGCGTGCACAAAGACGCCGTTGATTCAACGATTGTCAACGAATCTCGAGTGAACAAACCAGTGACAGATGCCCATGCTGACACCGGTGTCCATCTGTTGGCTCCTTTCAACTCCGCTTTGGGTCCGTCACCGCGGCATGCAGCGGAGTTAGGGACTCTTCAATTGCCAGACGCTTCGTCTCTTGTTGTTCAGTGGTTATACGAGTTGGTAAGTATTGTTTCATGTATGGAAAATGTTTGTCGCATTATACGATAACGTACACATCTAGTCCAAATTGGAACTGATGAAACAACTGGAGACTGGGGCTATAGGTCAGTTCGAATGCGCCATGGCGGACGTTTGAACTAGAGTCGTCGAAACTGCAAGCAGTTATGACCCTCGTTAAGCTGCTCGAGCCTGTACAAGGCTGAATGATGTGTATGTGGTGCTGGACTCTGGTTTATGCATCATTTCAGCTTTGTTTATTCATGGAGACCAGACTAGACTGGCCTTCAAAGCAATGGTTCTCTCTCTCTCTCTGTCTTCAGGAATCCGACCTTCCTGACACTTATCAATAAATCCCCCATCAACTTCTCACCTTTGCTGTGATTATATTGTATTCACTATCGAGTCTTACAACTACCTAGGACGAGTATTAAGTCTGTGGGGGGCGAAATGGACTAAGTGGTTAGAGCGCGAATTTACTGACCGGAAGGTTCGTGGTTCGAACCTGCATCTCGACTTCCCCTGTCTAGACTAGGGCAACCTGGCAGTACCCCAGCTGTCGTGCCTCCTACGTGCGGCATGGCAGCTGGGCACCGAAAGGGCGCTTAAAGGATATAGTTCATGTGCACAACCTTTTGTCTTATGCAGTTCCCCAATCTGCAGGAGGAGCTCGGTCCAGTAGTGTGCTCCTCCATAACCGCCTGTGGATGATACGAAGACCCCGTGATCCTGATATGTGATTGAGTAGGGAACCATTCTCAAAGACCATAAAACATTGATTCCAAGCAACGTTTTTCGAACAGCTGTGCACTTTTTGGTCTTATAGACTGTGGATTGTTTATTCATTTGAAGAATCCTAGCTGAACGTTTGGCAGAGGACTACATGAGTGACTTTGTCTTCAGAAACGCCCCAAGAAAAACTAGAATGACTTATCCCCTACCCACCGAGAAGGTTGTCAGCACGTACTTTGGACTCCTTAAAAGTCGTTTTTCACATTATATGATATTGTCAAAGCACGTGATGCAGATCAACCATGTTCTTCTGCTTCGAACCTGTTCATTTTCGCAGGTTAGTTACTCTTGTTAGATTTAGCGATTGCACTAGAATAATCAGTTGAGAAGGATTTTAAGTCCTTTTGTTGTTCACGTTTTCTGTTAACTGGCTTTGGATCCTGATTTTTCGGAGCTTCTGACGTGTCCCGGTTTGCTGAATCTGGTTAAGCACTGCTATGTCGTCTTCTACGTTGATTTGTTCCAAAATCCCAGGCTGATATTCGATTTTAGGCACTTATTAGAGGGCTCGTGTTCCGGGACTGATAACACCTCGGAATAAAGTCAGTCGAATAATCCAGCTGTCTCGTACAAACAGGTCAAACGGGTGCCGCACCCATGTAACTGATACCAAAATCATTTAAACACAAAGACACATTGATAGCTTGGCGCACCACACAATAATGTGCAAAACCGCACCTTTTTTTATTCAACGGCGTCAATTGGCCTAATTTGTCCCATCCGTCCCATTGTGTTCTATCTGGCTTCGGTCTCTTCGCCTTGGTCAAATTTTGCATGTTGTAGAAAATCCTTGCATAATAATTGTCCTCTCCGAAAGTGGGGTCTTGTGATGTTTTTGGTTTCATGAACCTAATAGCGTATCTCAATGTCAATAAACACAAGCAACAATGTATTCTGGTCCGTTTATGGAACGGAGGCTTGACTGTCTTTTGCTAGGAATGGGTTTGCTTTAAGAGGCAACTGCGTGCCTGTCGGGTGTCTTCGGTAGACGTAACCTTCGGTACAACTATCGCCGTTCTGTTCGTCCATCGGTAATGCCTTGAGTAAACAGGATGCCCAATACCCAATGCTTGTGACGTTAAAGTTTGACTGTTTATCTTTCAGGTTAGACTAGCCGATGCAAAGTTAAGCACAACCGAATTTGAACATGCACGAAAGTTGAAACGATGGGCCATTTTACTTCCAACTTTCAGGTTGAGGCAGGTCACGTTCAGACTGTGTGCACTGCCCTATTGGCTCTTGGCTCTGAACGTTTACGCATCACAGAATGGATTACTGAGGCACGCATCTCCAGTTGGTTCATGGCCTATCTGGGTGAGTATTGCGCACATACTCTGTGGGCTTGTTCTGCCACTGGATATCGTTACCTCCTTCTATGCTGATATCCGACCATATCCGTGCCTTTGTCCTACCGACAGAACTGCTTTCTCGTTTTCGCCTGTGGACCGTTTGCGCCAGGATTATCAAACAGTGTGGCAGTTCCAAAGGTGGCGTGGACAGCGTTCAGGTGCAAAAAGATTTGCGACGTGTCATGGCAATGCAACCCGCTATTCGACCTTTGTGTCGACTAAATAGTGAGTTTCTGGAGGGATTCTCTCTTCACACCGTTTGTGTGTGTGAAGATGAATTTTTGGACCTAGGGCTCCTATTTTGTACCTCATGAAGTCTTCAGCTATGTTTACTGCCCTCTCACTAATCTGATTATTCAAACACTTTATCAAGCTACTTTACGCGACATTTTTGCTCCGTAGAAACCTGTATTCCGCAGGTTCGAATTTATTGACCCTTCAGCTCCACGAGTGGAACGACGGGCGGAGTTGACCGTGATACGAAAACGGCTTCTCTCTCCGTTCAAAATAACTCCGCACCACTGGACGAGGTAGGCCCTACGAAAGACACACCACAGCTTAGCTGTGACCTTGACATAGCGGCCGAAACTGAATTAATCTGCGGTCTCGCGAATTAATCGTTCGGCTGTAACATCAATCCGGTGCGTAGCTGCCATGTCACAAGAAGGAAGCACTGCCAGGTTGTTCAATCTTAGACAGGAGCAGTTGAGGTTGGTTTCGAACCAAGGACCTTCCGGGTGGTAAGTTCGAGCCTTAACCACTGAGCTATTTTGTTCCACTTTCCCACGAACTACTCTGGATGGAACTTTGTCCCAAAAGTTCGACTATTCTAGGACTCTGATAGTGGGTAACCGGTCCGTATGCTACTATCCTGCTACGAGATCGAGTCATTCGATAGAAGTATGGACACAGCATCATATGTCCCCCGGACAACCCCAGCATTCCCACCTGGATGGAAGTAGTGGTGCTGCCCAAGGCTAGTTAGGAGCCCTAGGAACCGTGCACTTCGGCCATCCGACGGTTGACAGTCGTCGTCGACAACACAACCAATATGGTCATATTTTGCCGAAATTTCAATGGCTTCAAGCAGGCTCCCTCAGAAGTCGCTTTCTCTCTCCCCTTCTCAAGTCAGATGTTAAGTCACAGTCTAAGGCCAAGATTCGGAAACAAAATCCTACCTTTTGCAACCGCCGTGTGAGTCAACTGTCCAAGGTAAAGTACCTCAAGCAGGCTTCTGCCATCACTGCACTGACGACGTCCCCTAGAATGGTAACGAGACGCTTGCAAGCCAACTGCCACATGATCAACAGTCAATAAATTGACCCGAGCTACCAATATTTAAACATACTTCCAAAGGGCCAGCTTACATTCAAAACTGTCGCTGCTTTTGGAACACGTGCACATTCTTAGATCACGATCGTTTCCGTTCGATCAAGAGGACACTCATTCGTCAGTATGGCAGTTGCTGCATGCAAAGTTGAGCTCTCAAAGCAGTCTGTCAACAACAACCCTCTAGACGGCTCTCGGGGCTGAAAGAAACCAATCGGCCAAATGAAAACTAGCCCGAAATTTACGGTGCGATGAATTCAACGTTTCACCGTACGCACCTCATGATACAGTCACGGCTCGACTCATCTTAGATCTCACAACTATCCGTGCACCTAACCTTGGCAAGAAACATGATCTTATCAGGAGGAGAATACGATTCTTCGAATCCTGTTGAACCACGGTTGACCCGCATTCTGAAAACCGAGAACTGATGACTAAAGGGGTCCGAGAAATCGAAGAGGCGACAGTAGTTGAACTTTATTTGAACTTGTCCGCAACACTAGGCCAAGGAAACTGCTGATCAGTGTATCCATCAATGAGGAATGTAACCCTGCAACTTATTCCAGTTCACTTCGTGTGCCTCTCCGAGTAAGACATTTCGAGTCATTCAGGATAGCTGTGGTTAGGGCGTGACTGACCTTCATAGGTTTTGGCAACCTGGCAGTACCTCGTCTTTTGTGCTTCACCAACAGGTTGCCTCGGTTAAACGGTTTTTGCTTGTTAGTATGGTCACAAGTCATCTTGGCTCAGGCACCACATACAACGATGAGTGCACTCGCGGGTCCATCGTGGGTTGTGAACCACTGGATTTCATCGGAAGGCAAGGTTGAAAAAGCTGCAAGTTTTAAGGAGAAACAAAGCACCCAACCATGAATGTCTTACTCAGTTTTTTAAGACGGCGGATATGGCTTATTCATTTTGACTGGCTTTGTTTTCAACGTAGCCACACTTCTCCAGTTTTCATAGTTCAAAAGTCTTGGAGTGCTTAAAACTCTGGGGAGAGCATTCCTCTTAGTTTATCACCAAAAGTGGTGTAGTCGATCAGTTATCGAAAAAAATGCTTGTAGTGTTGGCTACCTTCGGCGGAAGCTTTTTTCTGGCCAGATCTTTTGGATCATGTGTGTGTGTGTAAAAAATATTGCGTCACCTGGCCAAGATTCCATCTCAGTGAAAAATGCTCCCAGTGGTCTAAATAACGTTGCCGCGGTTAAAAGCTATTAGACACGAAACCAAACATCTGACCTGTACAGTTTTTTTTAAAGTGAACACTCAAATGTTTTCTTGAACTTTCATAAACGTTCTGTGGATATTAGACAATCATAAACCAGCACTGCAAAGTGTTTCCATAATTTTCGTAGGAACCTTCCGCCTCCGTCAGATACGGAGGTGAATCCTGGCCACAGGACAATAGGCTGCTTGCATGCTTCATCCACACTGTTACACTGGTTTGACCTGTTCCCTTATAGGTTGACCTAGAACAAAGTTGCCGTACGTATTCCCGGGCTTCGTACTGACCTCTCCACCCTTCGTAATAATTAACACTGATTTCTTGTTTGTATCTCAACGCAGCGGAGGCTGAATCAGATACCTACAAGAGCACAACCATGGGGCTCTCTGACAGCAAACAGGAGTCTAGTATTCGAACTCGTTGGAAAAGCGGTAGTACGGGTGGAGCCACAAGTCTGCTCAACTCCACATCAATGAGTGCTCTGGCGCCAGACGTTTCTTCGGCCAATCAGACCTCCACCACATTGTCCATTCATTGCGGTCGCTGTTCGAAACGTTTTGTTGCCACTGAGGCGACCCAGCTGGCTACCGGACACGCCGGTTGGGCTTGCTCACGGCACGCGAGCACAGCCGACGCAATCAACGCCACATGCGCTTTATGCCACCAGACAGTTCGTGGATTGTTTGTTTGGTGTCGGGGATGCAGCCACGGCGGCCATTTGGAACACATGCAAGTTAGTGCACATTGGAACACAATTGAAACCGTTAATTTGACACCGCTTACTTAGAAGAGAGAACGGCTAGGGGCACTGACACTGCTGTGGTAGCGACAAAAGAATTTCAACGCACACTGATAATGCAGATACAATCTAGTGTTTTGCCTGTTCGTACGATCTTCCATATCCGTTATTATCCTGAATTTCACCGTATTTTTATTGGCATCCTTCCAAAAAGGTCGGTTTTCACTAGTAGTTGAACTCATTCAGGTGTCTTGTTTATACTACCGGCCTAAATGGCTGATAACATAATCGTTCAGCTGTAGCACCCTTTCAGTGCCTAGCCGCCATGCCACACGAGGGCTGGAATACTGTCAGGTTGCTCAAGCCTAGACAGGGGAAGTCGAGTGGAAGAGGTCGGGTTCGAACCACGGATCTTCCGGTTAGTAAATTCATGCTCGAACCACTTGAGCCATCTTGATAACATGCACTCCTATGAGATTTGTTTGGCAGGTCGAGTTCACGGATCTTCCGGTTAGTAAATTCATGCTCGAACCACTTGAGCCATCTTGATAACATGCACTCCTATAAGATTTGTTTGGCTTGTTATAACACTGTAAGAGGCTGCACTCATTAAAATCAGTGTGGTTCGAGTATCGCGTTAGTAAACTGCCGGACTCGTGGATGGGTACCGCCGCTCAGCCGGATGATATGGGACATAATCCTATCCTAGCAACAACGCTTTTGACTTGGGTAGATACGCCACATACATCATTGATGAGTACGGGCAACCCTCCGACTGCGAGGAACTGTCTGATGACACAAGTAAGCCATAAGCTACACGGGAAATCGGGGGACCGCAACTACAACACGATCCCCAAGTAGAGGACTGCGCCCACCTGATGAGCCCCCAGAAGGGCAAAACCGGTCGTGGCCTGTCGAAGAGTTTTCAGGAACCTTGTGAGTAGTGTCCTTTATGAAAATATACTGCGATATCTCGAATATCGTGCCAACTGAAACATCAGGCGGTCTGTGTGCGGCACATTCAGTTGTAGAATACCATAAACGAGAGATTCAGTTGAGTTTCTCGTGAAAACCAATTTGAGTGGCAAACAGTCCAACTTTGGTTCAAGTGGAACATAAGGTCGGCGGAAACTCGGGGACTGCGCCTACCTGGTGAGCCCCAAAAAGGGCTTAACCGGTCGTGGACTGTCGAAGAGTTTTCAGCAACCTTTATGAAAACTCTCCGACCAGTTTTCTCGCAAGGAAACACACTTTGATGTTTCAAGAATCGTACGAAGATTGAGACGGCCTTGTGCAGCACATTCACAACGCCACCATAAATGATTGATCTAGTTGGATTCAGTTGAACCAAACAGATGCGCACGTGAGTGTGTTTCGCGGCGCTCGGTATTCGCACAATGGAATTGCGTTTTCGAAAGCTATGACGTGTCCCTGATGGACTAAAGCAGTTGGGTAGTTGAGTTCAGAGTACCAGTCCAAACTTCTGAGCCCCATTTAGGCATCCCGGTGGCTCAGCGATGCTGGGAAATCATTCCACCAGCCTTTTCCGCCAGAGGTATGATTGCTCCAGTGGACGATAAAACTTGGCGAGCTGCAGAAATATGAACGGAGATTAAAATGGTTTTTGGCTTGAGCACATATGCAACAAAATGCAACATTTTGACGCAAAACGTTTTGCTCCACTCGTAAAGGTTTTGCAGCCGGGATCATTGTGCGGCTAATGGGCGCCGTATTTCGAGTTTTTTTGCTCCACTGAGGTACGTCTTCTCAGTGCACAGAGTGCCTTTTTCCATGTAGTCATTTGTAACCCCTGGTCAAAACCAGTGGTCCATTGGTGGTCATCCTTGCCCATAAGTCGGAATACGACTATAATTTTGTATTTCATACCAACGTGAAGCAATTATTGTTCAGACTATTCTATCTCACAAATCGAATAGACAAGAAAAAAATCGTTCAGCTGTAGCACCCTCTCGGTGCCTAACTGCCATGCCACCCGAAGGTTGCACGAGGGCTGGGATACTGCCAGGTTGCCCAAGCCTAGACAGGGGAAGTCGAGAGGCGGAGGCCGGATTCGAACCACGGACCTTCCGGTCAGTAAATTCGCGCTCTAACTACTAGGGCCACGTCCGCCCCGAATATACAAGAAGTAACATCAATGCCATCATTTGCACCAAACGGGTTGACCCTGCTCTTGTGATGAACAGCTTGATCCGTAAGACAGCTAAAAGCTGAGAACTTTAACGATGAGACCTGGCCAAGGAACTGCACAACCATGTGTGCCTCCTTGAGTAGTCACACTTTCTTTCACACGTCTCGGATGGTCATTTGCTCGTCGCCCAAATCTTCAACAGTATTTGCCTAGGTAGCATTCCTGGTTAAGCACGATTCCGGGTGAATCACCACCCTGAAATACTCACCCTAAAAAGCCTCGAAGTTCATTTTTCCCTTCCATGGGATCGTCATGACATTAATTCCAAATTCCGAACACAACGGACCACTCGTATTGCTCTCATTTCCTTGTAGGCGTGGCTCAGCAGACGCTCGGAGTGCCCAACCGGTTGTGGACATCGTTGTGAATACGGATAATAATCCGATAGCAGCCACTTGCTTCCCCGTCGATCCTTATTAATATCCGCAACTTTCGAATGTGATTTACAAGCGCATTAACTTGATATCTTATATTGCAATAGAACGTATTTTTTCTACTGTCCAGTTCGTCCTTATTGATCATTGGGAGCGTTGAACTATTTTCTAGGTGTAACAGAAATTCTCCAGTGTAATTCAGAGCAGGCGAATGGACGTTTTAATATAATACACGAGCCATGTGGAGGCGTACGTGAGTTGGTATTCCATGTGTATCGATCCACCCACAGCACTGAACGGTTTTTTGGTCTGAAGGCGGTTTTTACTCGCCATCACTTTGTGTTCTTCCGCACCTCGGCCCTCTACTTCCCTTAGCTTACAGGACACTGGTTGTCGCAGCTAAACAACTTTCCCAGTCAAACCGTCCAGCTGTAGCACCTTTTCGGTGCCTAGCTGCCATGCCACACGAATGAGGCACGAGGGCTGGGATACTGTCAGGTCGCCGAAGCCTAGACAGGAGAAGTCGAGAGGCAGAGGTCGGGTTCGAAACACGGACATTCCGGTCAGTAACTTCGCGTTCTAACCACTTGGGCCATCTCGCCCCCGTTTTCAAGTCAACCCTGCACTGATGGTGTCACTTCGATTGGAGATGAAGAGTTTGCAATCCAACTTGTAAACTAGGTGAACAGACCAACAACCAATCAGCGCACATCGCGAACGACTTTCCGATTGAATAATTACCAGTGGATGGATGAATTCCTTTCAGTGCGGAGTTGTTTATTAACGAACAAGAACTAAGCGCTTACAATCCATTAGACACGAAAGTGAATATCTCATCTTCACAAAGTTCCTGAAAAGTTAACGTTCTCAAGCGTTCCCTTGAATGCGTAATCCGTGCTCAATCAAAGAGAATCTGCGAAGCAGTTTTCAAAAGATTCGAATGGTGGAGCTATTAATAAAATGAGGCAACAGCAGTTTCCCTTTTCTAAAACGTAATCGCTTGATTCCTGATGACAACCGAAAAAGCGATACGTCATGTATACCTCGCAGTCTAATGAATGTATCTTGCGGATGGTCTGTGATTCAGGTTAAAAGACCTTGTCACCAGTATATTCCAGTTCGACGATCAGTGTGAGATAGGTCATCTGTTGCATGGTTCATCAAGTTGAATTGTCAAATCTGCTATCCATGCGCGGGAGGTGATCGGTAATCTATGGTGCAAAGCACGACGAAATAGGGTTGTCAAATCGTTATAAACGAATGAAACCTCCCAGAGAATTCCCTAAAACTTGGTACGGAAACTTCTCCCAGAAGCAAACTAGTCGACATAGAAGTTCGGCTGTCGCAGAAAACCAAAGAATCGGTTGACCCTCAAGATGGGGACATCCCTTTATATGAAGCTATTTTGACCGGATTGAAGGAGAGATCACTCTAACTGCTGACGTCGTCACCAGGCAGTTGTTAGTTTGATGAGTGAATTTCTTCGCACGTGCTGGAAATTCTATGGATTCTCTTAACACGTCCGATTAGGTCATTTCTTACTGATAAGTCTTGGTGTCTTTGAGTGTATGAGCGCTTTTCGGAGCAGCGATCACGATGTTCGCTATGCTACTTGAGCATCGATCACTTATCTGATTTCCCTCAGCCTGAACAGTCAACAATCGTAGATGTTTTCATACACAACAGTATGCGTATTGAATCTAACTTGACCTTATGATGGTCCCTCCCCATGCATTTGTCTAATCCACTCTCCACTTGCTTTGCTTATCTGCACCTCCCGCTCAACTTATGGCAAAGGCTGTCGTCTCCGTGCCTGAATGTGTGTAGCTGACCTACTTACCCACGCGCGTTCGTGAAGGCTGTCGCGTGCCTGAATGTGTGTAGCTGACCTACTTACCCACGCGCGTTCGTGTCCCGTTTTCTGAGCATGTCTTGACTTGTTTCCTTCCCAGTTCCGTGTGATCGCACGGCCACAGAGAATCACGAGACTCGTTGGACGGGACTACCGCAACCCACACTACTGGGCCAGCATTCTGCTCACCGTTGTTCTCGTGTGCGGACGTTGGCACTGCACTATGCTGGTCAGTGACAGACTGACAGACTTGTTGACGCTGCCAACGTGGACAATTGAAGTTTGTTGTATACATTTGCTTACCCTTGTGTAAATAGTACCGTAGAATTTCGAACCCAGTTCTTTTAATATTCGGACCTACGCGTCACTCAAAGTTCCGTATCGGTAACCTCAACGGTGTGTATCTGTACCCTTATCCAGGGGTGTTCAGGTTGTTCCGTGCTTGCAAGCATTTCCCTTAGGAGTCCCTCTAAGTCTCGCGATGACATTTATTTCGGAGCTGTCATTTCGCTGTCTGCTTGGAAGCCTTTCTTGTCTAGTGCGACAGTGAATTCCGTTGCACATTTGTATCAGCCGCAGCTTGTTCTTAACATGTTGATCGAAGCCTAGTCATAACCAAAACAGTCTTTGAAAACCACTTACAGAAGGAATCCCTCCTCCTAGTTAGTTCACCAAACTCAAAACGAAAGTAAATGCTGCAATTTTATGGTTTTCAAACTGCGTTTGAAGTATAGAGATCAAGGTAACATTGGGAAGTATCAAGGTCACAACAACAGACTACCGCGGCGCACACAATGTGATGCGATCCTGTGTGTGGACCTGAGAGTTAAGTGAAAAACTAGTAGGATGTGCTGTGTATGTGTCGCTACATTTGGTTCTGTCGGATGCGTTCTGTGATGGCCCTCACAACGTCGCGTGTCTTGTGCTGTCCACCCAAATCACGAGTGCGAATCTTTTGCACCCCAACCACGTGAAAGATGGCATCCCAAATTTGTCTCGCTTCGTCCATGTGATCTACAATTAGGAGAGTTTGGATAATCGAATAAACAAGTAAGGCTGTGCGGGATTACTGTGAGCGATTGTGTAACAAATGATGGCTGATTTGGCGGCTATTATCACATTCCATTGATACACAAAAGTGTCGCAGCGCTTTGCACATGCGACACACCAGCTCGGTCCATGTCAAATAGGGCAGGTTCGTTCACCCTAAATCCGGGGTAAGTCAAGGGTCAAGGTGAGAGTCCCTGACTAATAGGTACATCATTCAGAATTACTCTTCAGTTATCGGTCGTGCCCAGGCAATCCGGAAACCTATTCGCCTCTTTCTCCCTCCGGATTGCATGGCATTTATGCCACAGATTGACCCTGATACGAACAGGAACACGCCAACTGGATGGATTCGTAGTGTCTATGCTACACAAAAAAACAATACAGAAATCAGCCGTTGACCAAGCGCGGTGGCTCTGATCAAGACTCGTTACCGACGAATCTAAATTCAGTCCAGAAAGAGCAGTATGTGCTTAATAAGTAGGATTTTCATCTTCCTTAAAAAATCCGTCTGAGCATGTCTTGACTTGTTTCCCCATGAGTTCCGTGTGATCGCACGGCCACAGAGAATCACGAGACTCGTTGGACGGGACTACCGCAACCCACACTACTGGGCCAGCATTCTGCTCACCGTTGTTCTCGTGTGCGGACGTTGGCACTGCACTATGCTGGTCAGTGACAGACTGACAGACTTGTTGACGCTGCCAACGTGGACAATTGAAGTTTGTTGTATACATTTGCTTACCCTTGTGTAAATAGTACCGTAGAATTTCGAACCCAGTTCTTTTAATATTCGGACCTACGCGTCACTCAAAGTTCCGTATCGGTAACCTCAACGGTGTGTATCTGTACCCTTATCCAGGGGTGTTCAGGTTGTTCCGTGCTTGCAAGCATTTCCCTTAGGAGTCCCTCTAAGTCTCGCGATGACATTTATTTCGGAGCTGTCATTTCGCTGTCTGCTTGGAAGCCTTTCTTGTCTAGTGCGACAGTGAATTCCGTTGCACATTTGTATCAGCCGCAGCTTGTTCTTAACATGTTGATCGAAGCCTAGTCATAACCAAAACAGTCTTTGAAAACCACTTACAGAAGGAATCCCTCCTCCTAGTTAGTTCACCAAACTCAAAACGAAAGTAAATGCTGCAATTTTATGGTTTTCAAACTGCGTTTGAAGTATAGAGATCAAGGTAACATTGGGAAGTATCAAGGTCACAACAACAGACTACCGCGGCGCACACAATGTGATGCGATCCTGTGTGTGGACCTGAGAGTTAAGTGAAAAACTAGTAGGATGTGCTGTGGATGTGTCGCTACATTTGGTTCTGTCGGATGCGTTCTGTGATGGCCCTCACAACGTCGCGTGTCTTGTGCTGTCCACCCAAATCACGAGTGCGAATCTTTTGCACCCCAACCACGTGAAAGATGGCATCCCAAATTTGTCTCGCTTCGTCCATGTGATCTACAATTAGGAGAGTTTGGATAATCGAATAAACAAGTAAGGCTGTGCGGGATTACTGTGAGCGATTGTGTAACAAATGATGGCTGATTTGGCGGCTATTATCACATTCCATTGATACACAAAAGTGTCGCAGCGCTTTGCACATGCGACACACCAGCTCGGTCCATGTCAAATAGGGCAGGTTCGTTCACCCTAAATCCGGGGTAAGTCAAGGGTCAAGGTGAGAGTCCCTGACTAATAGGTACATCATTCAGAATTACTCTTCAGTTATCGGTCGTGCCCAGGCAATCCGGAAACCTATTCGCCTCTTTCTCCCTCCGGATTGCATGGCATTTATGCCACAGATTGACCCTGATACGAACAGGAACACGCCAACTGGATGGATTCGTAGTGTCTATGCTACACAAAAAAACAATACAGAAATCAGCCGTTGACCAAGCGCGGTGGCTCTGATCAAGACTCGTTACCGACGAATCTAAATTCAGTCCAGAAAGAGCAGTATGTGCTTAATAAGTAGGATTTTCATCTTCCTTAAAAAATCCGACCTATTCCGAAGTAGAATGGTGCCAAGTGAAACTGTTTCTGGCGGTCTGATGTACCAGACCCATAAATTTGAGGGCAACCAGGTTTTTTTTGAAGACCCCTGTATCAAAAACCAATAAGTGTCCAGCCAACACAGTGAATACTCACTCAGGTATTCTAACAAATGTGCCGCGGTTAGCAACATCGCACACGGATTCGCCAGATTTTTTCCCACCAAGGAACGTCCGGAGTTTCGAGTGCCCATCTCGAACAGGGCATTTCGTTCTCCCAGATTTACACCGCTTGCCAAGCCTGCACCACCAACCAAACCGGCCGCAATGTTGCCAACAATATTCCCGTATAAGTTGGGCAGAACGATGACATCGAATTGCTGGGGTCTGCTCACTAGCTGCATGCACGTGTTGTCAATGATCATTGCGTTGAATTCGATCTGAAGCAAGAATAAAAATGTGTTTCGGAGTGATTCTAATGAAAAAATACCCAGAAAGTAAGTCGTTCGGTGCATGCACATAGACCAAGATACGGTGGGCAGTCGACCCTGAAATGTCAATTTTTGGACGTCTTCTGATGAATATGTGAGGGCGCATGTGGAGTCCCTATCAGTTAGTTTACCGGGTGGAATAGCCAAGGCCACAATCTTTGAATGAGCAGGGTTTGATTGTCCAAATACTTCTGGCGATCTATTTACTTCCTGAATCAATCAAGTGTACTTCCATTTCTGCATGCTGAAATCTGTTACGCTTCATCATGTCGCCATTTGCTAGTAAACCAATCCAAAAGAAGACAGCGCTTATTTTCATAAAGGAAACTACTCACAAGGTTGCTGAAAACCCTTCGACCTTGCGAGTAGTTTCCTTTATGAGAATATACTGCGATATCTCGAGTATCGTGCCAACTGAAACATGAGGCGGCCTGTGTGCAGCACATTCAGTTGTAGAATATCATAGACGGGAAATTCAGTTGAGTCTCTCGTGAAAACCAAATTGATTTGCAACTGAATGTACTTCTGGAAGACAGCGCTTAGTTAAGAAAAACGAACATCGAGGCCCGGCGACATTTTCAAACGAACTTACTTGAGGGTATGCTTTTGCAACATCACTACATGTGTCCAGGAACAGTCCATCGCCAAGTTTCATGATGTTTGCCTTGTGCACGGCGGTTACCTTCTTCCGGTTGTGTCGGATGGCATAGTTGAAAGCGAAGTGAGCGATCCTTGAACAACAAATTTTGGGGGATTATTTTGGTAGTAATTCAACTGTCATAATGCGATATTAAGCAACAACATGCTAGACTGGTGGGGTACATCGGCTAAGGAGTGTGTGAATACTCTTGTTTGAGTCTGATCTAACCACCAGACCCACTGATCTCTTGCGGATTGTGTGTCAGCTGTGTATCACAGAAGATTCATCAGCACATGAACCCAGGACTTTCGGCATCCTTAATGTAACGAGGAATCGCCTACCTATCGTGTTGAACAACATCCGACGGCAAACGTTTAACAATTCGGGACACAAACCAAAGGGTGGGGTGTGAAAGATAACTCACCGTCTGGACTTCTCCGCTGTGATTACTTTCAGTGACTCCACCACTCCAGGTACGTTTTCATGTTCAAGCTGAAGTGATCACAAAAGACAGCAGACAAGGATTATGTTATTTTCTTGCTAAAAAAATTAGTTTGCGACCTTTTGAGAACGCCTTGCGTCTGTCTAGTGGTAGAACAAGGAGGCCTTAGGCAAGACGCATTGGGGCATTGTTGGAACCCTTCGTAGAAACGATCCATCTACCCATAAAGGAAGGACGACAAATGGCCAGTTGGAAAAATCCATTCAACACCATGCTTGCAACCACGTTCTACGTGATGGTGGATACTACTGATGGGGGTATGCGAGTAGTCTTTTCTCGTAAAACCGCCTCGCGTCTTTTGAAAACTGAGATCTATCACGGAATTTGTGGAATGGCATTTGCTTGCATTTGAGCAACAGTCAATGAATATCCAGGAAAGTTCAGGAAGACGAAGAAGATGGATATTCAGTTTCATCAAACAAGATACATATGAGAGTTCTGCTTCCCTGTCCAATAGTCGGTAACTGTTCACTTGGCGTTTTCTAATAAACAACTCCGCAGCGAAGGCCATCTTTCTTTCACTAGTATTGTCATTGTGGCTCCATGAAGGATTAATATATGGGTGGACTTGACTCGTTGAACCAAAATATCACGTATGGGTCGACTCAACTCACAGGTGATCTACTCTCATCAAAGTACAAGAGTTTTGGCACTTGGTTCGGTAAAGCCGATAACTTCCGTGTACAGTGAGTCAGTTTCAAGTAAAAACCAATCCTGACTAACAAGCCTTGGAGGAACTGGTGCCACGAATAAATAAAGAAAAATCGTCCAGCTGTAACACAATTTCGGTGCCTAGCTGCCAAGCCACCCGACAGTAGCACGAGGGCTGAGATCATGCCAGGTTGTCCAAGCCTAGACAGGAGAAGTCTAGAACTCAGCAGGGGCTGAGTTCGAATTACGAACATTCCGGTCAGTGAATTCACGCTCTAACCATTCATACAAGTGACCATTGTTAAAGAACGATGCGTAAGTCATTGTCTCGCAGGACGACGAGAAACCAATTTCAAAAGGTGGTGGGCCACTTTTGTCCCTTGCAGTAACCGAAGGATTGTATCCTAGGCGATAGTCGTTTTAAAGCAGGTAAGATGAGCCTCAGGTGCTATACATCTTCGGTATACGTAGTTATGAAACTGTTAGAAGGGTTAGCCTTTGGAGACTAGGATCCTGAAGGAGAGCAGTGGTTGGTGACCTAATGCAGCATCCTAAGTTGATCAGTGGACAGAGATTAACAGAATATTACTTAGTCTCAACGACAAATTCCATTGCCAACTTGAACACTAAGTTATTCAAAAACTACCGGGAGGCTTAAGCCGTTGGGTCAGTCTACAAAATTCAGGAAGACGTACGAGGTTGCTTCATGTCTTCGCCACTCAAAGGGGTCCATCTGAAGCACTTCGATAAACGTCGCGGGTTATGTAAACGAATATATATATATATATATATATATATATATATATATATATATATATATATATATATATATATATATATATATATATATATATATATATATATATATATATATATATATATATATATATATATATATATATATATATATATATATATATATATATATATATATATATATATATATATATATATATATATATATATATATATATATATATATATATATATATATATATATATATATATATATATATATATATATATATATATATATATATATATATATATATATATATATATATATATATATATGCGATACATATGTCGAATGTATAAGTCATCAAATATCATGGGTTCGCAAGACCATCTTATCGTTGTATGAAGTATGATATATACAACCCTATAGCCCGAAGGTTAGGAATATGTGTTAAATATGCTTGTGCTGCGTTACTAACGATTGTTCTGTGTTATGTTTCGATAACGTAGCGAGCAAACAATAATATGAGCGGACTGCGACGATATTCTATCCCCAGCTTTGTTGCCTGATCCCGACTCCTAGCACAGATGAAACCTTGGACACAACTATAATGGTGATTGGCTTGTTCGCTGAGCTGGGAAATTTGATTGCAAACGTTTCATCACCAATCAAGGAGACATCATCAGTGCGTTGTGTATCGAAGTGGTGCGTAACGATGGGTTGATGGTTGTGCACTACCTGAGCTACCAACATTGCCTCTATAGAAAACAACTGTAATGCTCCGAGGCGATTTACGGAAAAGCGACACTGAATATATATATATATATATATATATATATATATATATATATATATATATATATATATATATATATATATATATATATATATATATATATATATATATATATATATATATTCGTAGTTTGCCGGAAGTTCATTAGCACGCATAAAGGTACAAAGTTTTTGAGGACATTGATATCGTCAACATTTCGATGATACCCTTACTTGCTGATGATCATAAGCATAAATGATGAATATAAAAACGCGATCTTGGCGGAACATACTACCCGTAATGTTGCTGAAAACTATTCAAAAACCCATTACAGATTGCAGCTTTCTCGGGCCCATTAGGTAGGCAAAGTCTCTGAATGCCCATCAACCTTATGTACCCCTCGAATACTATATTGTACGCAATTAGCGAAGTACACAGCTGCAAATTAATTAAATAGTGGAGGGAGACTTAGCCGAATCCTAGCTGAACCTCCCGTTTATATCACGGGTTTCGTCAAATAAGTTGATCGGAACCGTTCAGATCGAATACTTTGCGAACGCCATGGTAACAGCCCGCTGACCTTGGTTCTCAAACGAGCTGCAGTGGTTACTCAATTTGGCCCATTTAAAGGAATCAAGTTAAAACGAAGCATGATGCTGCATTCATTAACAGACCGGATAGTGTTCTCTAGGGATGAATGCACTAAAAGTGAGAGTTTGGTTAGGAAAACCCACATGAAGCAAGAAAAAATGCCCGAAATCATCTCTCGAGTACTGTCTGTGCCGCTCAGTTGAGGATCCAAGCTTGTTTCAAGTGTTCCGATCGATTACACGTACGATAGCCAACTAGTTGTTCCACCCACCTGAATCACCTAGCATGGTTCCCAAACTGATAACAAAGTACATCAGCCCTCGCTACTGCTTCAAAAACAGCACTGAGAACACTGAATAGGCCTTCGAACAATCACAGCAAATCGTAACAACTCCAAGTCAGATTTTCGCACCGTTTACCGATTCCTTATTTATATTTGTACACGCTAGTTGAGATGTCTTCGAAAGCACTAGTCCCCAAAAACCTCGATTTTCTAGCATTGTCGAAATCTCCGTTTGGATGGGTAGTAAAATAATGCAACCTATGGTATCTAGGTCCCATCACTGTTGATTTTTGGATGACGTGTAAAGACCGGTCCGAAACGGATGGGAGAAATATTCCAAATTTCAGACTTAAAAATATTAGTTAATCGGTTCCTAGTAGATTTGCTTCCACACAGAGAGGCCAATTCTCAGAAGAGGTCATCATCATCACTATCATCAAAGACAACAACATCAGTGTTGGCAGTGATGCTTCACTGCCGTACCAGAACAGGTCAACCCTTCCAGATAAAGGCGGACGGGGCAAAACAAACAAACCAACATCGTGCGTAAATAACAAGGGTACGATTAGGCTCAAAAAACCAAACGTACCCGACTGTACTCTCCTTCCGTGTTCTCGCGAATAATCACAATGTCCACGTTTTGGTGTCGTGTATCGATACCGGGGAAATTACGACAGCGCTGAACGAACGCATACAGATTGAGTTGTGTGCGTAAAGCCAAATTCCGTGACGATTGGCCTGAACATGCGGTACAGGGGTTAAAGAAAATCTTATCCTCGTGGTAGCGAGAGGAGGATGGAGATATCGACTATCGCTCGTTAACAAAAACCCTGATAACTTGATAGAAACACTAAACTGAGTTCATCGTTTCCATGTGAAGAATGTCACTGCGGAGCATTTAATCGCTCCCCTTTTAACCCGCAATGACCGAACTAGGATGGTTTCTGATAGCGTTCTACTGAGCGTGACTTATCAATGACTTGGTAGTTGGTACATCGACTAAAGACACGCGTGCACCTATTGTTTTATGACTCCTCAGGACAATTTCGATCTGATCAGTGATATCTCTGCAGCATGCTTTCATGACATGAAATAATCGTTTTGCAGGAAGTGTGCATGTGCGACAGGTACCAACCACATGGAACAATCATCAGGCACAACTTATGGCATCGTTTTTAAGAGGCTTCAGAGAAATCCAAAACTGCGTCCCAATTCGCGACCGCGATTTGGTCCGCATATCCACGATCCTTCTCATAATCTGGGTAGTGCAGTGTGGCGTTCTCTTGATGCTCACATCTTATGTTGAGGGCTATAAAGCGTTGGAAAACATCTTACATAACCAGTTATTCAATCAGAAAATGATTATCAACTGCTGAAACACACCAAAGAGGGTTGCTCACCATGAAGTAAACCCCTACCAACAGAACAGGATTTGCGTTCCGCACGCTTTTTTAAGGGGCTCAACTGACGTTCCCGTGGTTCGCACACTAAGTGCAACCTGCAGTACGTGCCGTAGATTATCACTCCTCTGTACTCGTTTACCTACGGTGATCACTGAGAGGCTAACCTCGTTTGGTTTGACTCATCTATCACCCGCAGGCAGCCATTCGGAGCTATGAGGGAGAGTTGGCTGTCACGTAAGAATCAAACACTGACCAGCTGCTTCGTGGAGGCTCAACAGTCAGACGCACCGCTGCCACGACACCTCACATATACACAACTTCTTACTGACTGGATCACAGGGAGAAATATTTGAGGCTGTTTAACCTTGTGTTTATAATTAGTGAGGAGAATTTGAGGCTCCAGTCAGAATTTCACCTTGAAAATGAAGCCAACCTATGGCGAAAAGCACTGGATCGAGGCATCAGCAGTATGTCTCTTACGTATCACCGAGTGACTCCAACCCGCAGTCTCCCGGTTGGTGATTGGAATTAATTCCGTTCCGCCATAAGCGACCGATTAGTGTTGCTTGCTGGATGGAAGTATGTCACCTGCGAGTAGATTCGACATACACATGTGGCGACAGATTGCCTGAGTGAATGTCTGGAGGTGTAGGCACCTCGGAATGATTGTGTTAAGCTAGCACTAAATCCCTCCCCCATCCACCTTTATTCTTTTCTTTACAATAAGGCTTTCAAATAAGTCATGGCTGTACGGCAGTGAAGCATTGGTGCTGAGCACTGATGTCATGCTGTCGTTGATGATGATGATGATGTGGCGACAGAGTGGGGAAAACCCTATGAGTAACACATGTGATGTGACGCCGGAACTTGCTCGCCAGTAAAACGCCTAGACTTCCCAGATGGACACACGTCCCTCAGACACACTGAACGCACACGCTACGTTGAAGAAAACGGCAGAACAAAAGCAGGAGAGGTCACCTACCAGGTTCAGTGGCAAAGTTTCCCTTGATTCCGACTCCGTTACGCTCCATGGCCAGAAGCGCATCACGAAAAGTGGTTTCCGCACAGTTAATGTTCACATGAATCTCCTCAAAATCCACCGGAGCGCCAATAAGCTGATACACCTCTTTCACGTAGTCCATCATCTCTGGACCGACTCCGTCCCCGGTGAGCATGGCCACCGTATGGCGACCACCATAGCATGCCTTAGGCAGATCTTGATGAAAACCAACATTCAGAAAGTGCTTTGACACAGGTGAGGCATCAATATTAGCGTCGGTGATCACACTAGTAGATTGCAGACGCTGCTGATTGACTATTGAGCAGAATGGCTAAAAATGAAGAAGCAATTAGAAACTCGTGTAAAAGCATGCAATCTGCATAGCTTTTTTTCAATGTCCTATTTAGTCACGAATATTCTGGGAAATAGTTCTCCATTTTAGTGACATCTTCGTTCGCACGTTAGGATACGAACTTTGCGTGCCAGAAGACCACCTGCCTAACAGAACTCTTTTCGCCCAGCTGTGTCGAGTGAAAGCGACTCAGAGGTGGACAGTGTGTGATTTAGCAACGAAATATGAAGATACTAACCAGTAAACTTAGTCGGATCGATAACTGCCTCCTTCCTGGATGGAGACCCCGGAACCCAATTCACAAATGGCCAATGACAATAGCGGAAATGGCCTATATGGCGCGACCTTGTAGGGCATTCTGTGGTGACCCTATAAATGGTAGCAATAATCTTCCTTTGTCTGCATAAGGGATTGTCTTAAGCTACCATACCTTTTGATACACCAGATGGGGTGGAGCAGGAACCCCAGGAGCAACATAGGAGTTGCACCACTGTTAGCAATAGACAACAATTTCCCAGATAGCTCAGCCAATGCAGAAAAGCAACGGAGATCCATTAAAACCCAGAACCTGGATGACGTAACGAATTCGCTTACTAAGGTAGATCATAGCAGAAAAGGTGCGCATACTTTGCGGTGAAGCATCGTAACCAAGTCTCACGAAAAATGATGGCGCTTGCAAACCAGGGACGGCGTTCTGGATGCAAACACGAACCAACAAATGCGTGTCCACGATGCCGGAAACTGCCAGCAACTCAACTGCAACAGACCTTGGATTCTCACTAAATCTCGAACCTGAACAAATCGGTCGTACATGTCGACCTGATAGTTTTCAGAAATCTTCTGTTGTTCGGAAGTAGCAAGGGAAGAGGCTCGTGACATGACTACTACAACCATAAATGTATAAGCCTCAAACCATTCAAAACAGTCCTCCGAACTTCCCCAGTACTACAAGGCCTACCTTCGGCACGTGAATTTCAAGTCGGAGATGATCGAACTAAGTTTCAACCAGGTAGGAGTGATCGGGCAGCGCCGATTTCACCGACAGACAACCATGCATTCCGTTAACTTCAAAGGAGCTTTCGACTCCGGAATAAGATAGCTTTCCTGCATATGGCTTGCGAAGAAAAGCATTCGACTACTAAAGTTGCGTTAGGATTGACCCTCTCGCTCTTTTGTCCAATTCTGCCGTTGACATCATTATGGAGTGAACAATTCAGGGGACCATGAATGTGAGCACGGAAATTACATCGAGATAGAGAGTAGCGGAATTGGATCATACGGACGACGTTATTCTGACGGCCGTGCATCCGCACAAACTGTCTCAAACAGACGCTGACCCTCTCTGCTGACATGCAGTCGCACCTTCAAAGTATTGCTTTATTGAGCCTCATCCCCTTTGACTTATTGAAAACCGTTAAATGAAGATCATGAGTTTGTTGCTCGGTTAGCACAAATGGTCAGTTGCACAAGGTGTAGTTGCGGTGACAGATAAAGCCAATGCGTTCGTTATCGAGGCACGAACAACATGCACAAACTCATGTTATTTGTGGTATCGCATATAAATTTTGTTGAAGCTGAAGTAACTTATGCGATGTGACTGTAAAAGCAGCCTCGACGATTGCCACACTTGGTCATCCTAAATCCAAAAACCCTAAATGTCTCCAAAAGCTTGACCACCGAGGTTCTTATAGTACATTAGAGGTTAGCTGGGATTTTGACTCCTGTAAACTATACTTACGTTTAGTGAAGTCCGCCAAGGGAGCTGAATCAGTACTACTCTGAGATGACACTCACATGTGTTCACTCCAATGCTGATAGAGGGCACCGTGTTCTTGACCATCTCTACAAGTATTCTTTGCACCACACTCATTCTTCTCCTTGGTTTCTAGTCTTCTACTGTAGTGTTCGTCCCTTTCGGTTGCATGAAAGTTACGCATCATCAAGCATTTGTAGTGTATCACCGTAAATTGTAAATTGCATGTTGAGCAGGCTTGGAAACTTAGAGCAGCGACATCCAACGTGCCTCCACATGCAAAACCAATGTTACATTCGTTCAACATACGGTCTGCGGTAGTTATACCACGACTGTATCATAAAACAGGACCGACGGTCTCAACCCTCTTTTATATGCGGAAAGTCATCAAACTGTCTTGCGCTTTATCCTTAAGTAGCACATTAAAAAAAAGTTTGCTCCTGTCAGCCAAACGAAGGCGTCTATCCTCCAAGTTCGAAGACTCTGGTTCCTGTATTATACGGCATAATGCTGTCCTTTACTTGCGAGCTACCACAACCAAAACTAATCGCAATTACCCAGCCAGGGCACACTTTCGGCGCATAACTACTACGCGACCCAAAGGAAGTACTATGGATACCATAGCCGGAAGGGGGCAGGGTTGGGTTCGCACCATGGGCCACCCGTTAATAGCTGACGCTTTCACCACTGAGCTACCTATTTAACCGTTGTATCCAACTGATGCCCAATATCTGGAGCCCAAAAACCTCTATTACTTACTGTCCTCAGTAAAACGAGTTAGAATAGCCCGCAAATACGCGTAGACTCAACGGCAGAGCGCTATACACAAGCTGTTTCCAAAGTTGTCAATAAAAAGCGATACACCAGTGAAACTAACGATGACTCAGTCCTCAATCTTTTTAAAACCAGCACTGCCAAAGGCTACCACAAGGGCGGCTTATATTTCAGCTTCATTGAAGAGTATGAAAAAACAGATACCCGTGGCCCAAATTTATCCTTATTATAACACAATTAAAGGAGTAGTGAGGAAAGCTGAAATGATAGATAATATAGACCAACTCACTGTAATACCGCTTTTCGGAACAATCCTTCTCAGTAGCATCAAACAGGCCTTCATCCTGGACCGGTTTGACAAAAAGTGATGAGAGAATCGAGACGGTTCTGAAGTAACAGAAAACAAATATTGATTAGACAGCAAAGTATTTCATGAATTTAGCTTTCTTTGGTCAGATTGTCGTCCGCATGAGAGAATCGGGCCACCTGGATGTGTGAAAGTTTACCCCCATCTCATCGTGGCGCAATGGTGCTAACCGAGGTGTGGTTTGTTGCACATGGGTCAATAGGGCACCATCAGGGTGTAGCAGATCCTTGTCTGGCGACCAGGTCTCCCATATAATGTCAAATGAACTCACGGACAAAATCATGACATGGCCAGCGTGACCCTACAGTAAATGACACAACACGGATTCTCAGTCATCATTTAGTATGACCGAATAGTCATCCGAATCGTCTGACATCCACTAGAAGCATAGAACCCGGATTCTCATCATCATTTAGTATGACCGAATAGTCATCCGAATCGTCTGACATCCACTAGAAGCATAGAACCCTGCTGCCCTACGGTCGCACTCAAATATGTTAGGGCTACAGAAGCGAACTCGAACAAGCGCCAGGCTTGAAAAAGTAGAGGCATTAGATCAACCCAAGATCGGGCAGTCCTCCCGGTGGTTCTGCTCACCACACCCTCCCTGCTGCCCTGCGGTCCGCATCCGGTTGTGCAAACGCTATGATGCAGTCCCGAACAAAAGCTGTGTGGAGTTGAGGTCGTCGTTCGCACATAAATTCTCATGTTACCCCACGATCATTCCTTTCTTTGGAGGCAGCATCGTCTGGGATTGTGACACCTCGTTTTAAAGGTTATCCAGCTGTCCGGAGGCCATCCGTCCCTAATAACCATCATTTGGATGGATGTGTCTAGAGGGCTGTCTCGAGCTACCATGCCTTTTGATACACCATAGTGGGCGGAGCAAGAGGCCAAGGGACCGATACAAAGTTGCACGACCGTTCGGCGAGACACAACAACTGGTGACAACCCAAACCCACGAGGTCAATTCCGGCAGAGGAACTGCAAATAATTTTACAACAGCAACAGAAGCAGCTTGAAGAAGCTCAAATGAGGCTTGTTGAGTCTCTGATGCGCAGTATTTCGGTGAATGTGACAAAAACAGTTGGGCCTCCGTCTTTTTCCACAGATGCTCGATTACTGAATTCAATCTCGACGCTGAATCTAGACGAACTTTCGAAAGTTGGTTCAAGAAATATGAGGACGTGCTTCAAACCGACTTTACTCAGTTTGATAATGCATGGAAAGTTCGACTGTTGCTGCGGAAACTGGGGACAGCTGAACATGATCATACTCCCCAAACTCCCTCGTAATCTGGATTTCTCAGAGGCTGCCAAAATCCTGGCCCAAATATTCGGTGAGCAAAGTTCCTTGTTCCTCGCTGTCAGTGTCTCAAGATTACCAAAAGGGATACTGAAAATTTCATCAACTGTGCCGGTGTGGTCAAGAGAGAATGCGAGCGCTTTCAGCTCAGCTCCATGATGGAGGATCAATTCAAGTGTCTCATCTTCGTGGCTGGTCTTCAATCGCCACACGATGCAGATATTCGGCCCCGGTTACTGAATCGAATTGAACAGGATCCAGAGTTGACTTTTCAGAAACATACCCCGAATGCCAGCATTTTATCAATCTCAAGGCTGATGGTGCAGTGATTGGACATTCCAAATTATATTAGCCCGATATGGTATGCAAAGTGACTTCCAAAAGGCAATCAAATTCTAAACGAACTCCAAGAAAGCCGCCCACACCCTGTTGGTTTTGTGAAGAATGGCATTATTCACGCCACTATCCCTACCGAAACCACAGGTGCAGCAAGTGCAGTCGAAACGGTCACAAAGAAGAATGCTGCAGAGACAACTTCAGGAGCTCGCACAAACACCGACCCGACAAAAGGACGCAGGCAGTGGCCATGACCACAACATTCAGGATGAAATCACCCGGTTGACGTAAATTCGTCACAGCATGTATCAATGGCACACCGGTATCATGACTATATAAGCCATACCTTTGCATAAACCGGTAACTCGAAATCCAAACTCTACATTTTCAGCTCATGTACTATCGCTATCAGACGATTAAAGCGTATATTACGCCCTTCTATTCTGTCTCCCTTCTAATCTCGTCCTGGAACTACTCGACTCTCGCAACAACTTAATCGCCTAATAAAAAAGAAATGGATCATGTCTCCGAACTAAGGTTCTTGATACTGATCCTCACTCATCAGATGGCATGAAACGATGGACTCATTAATTCCGTACCTTCAAAACGTACATTAACTCAATCAGACCTGAAGGTTCAAACAAATTGGAAACTTTCATACGTTACATTGACCACACAGTGTATGACTTCAATGCAGAACGTAACGACTACGATTCTGCGGTGACCTTACTGGAAAAACTTTACATTCGCCCGAAAAACATCCTGTATGCACGCCATCTTTTACCTACATTTAAACAAGAACCTGGTCAAGATGTCGACCAGTTCGTTCAAAAACTGAAGTCAATTACTAAAAACTGTAAATTCAGAGCAGTATCTGCTGTGGAACATACAAACGAAGCAGTTCGGGATGCCCTGATAACCGGACTGCAGTCGAATACCATTCGGGAGGAACTGCTAGCATGGCATGAATTAGACCTTGAAAAGGCCCATGAAGCCGCACGAGCTCTCGAACTTGCACAAACAGTCACAATCATAAGTATACGGACAACCCATTGCTTTTTCTGTGTCTACTCCTTTGTCCATTGTTAAGTACGAAACAACGGTTTCCACCGCTACACAACATACATGTTACTTTTGTGGGAACCCCAAGTACTCTCGTTTTAAGTGTCCCGCTAAAGAATCCGTGGGCAAGAGTTGTGGGAAAATTGGACATTTCCAACGCATCTGTAGGTCCAGAGCCTCGAAATATCACGTAGGTTCAGCTCAAGACTACTCAAAATCTTTGCTATTTTGTTCTGCTATTCCCTATTGCTTATCATCATCATCATCATTGTCAGCTGGAGTTGTGGGTGGACATTTCCAACGCATCTGTAGGTCCAGAGCCTCGAAATATCACGTAGGTTCAGCTCAAGACTACTCAAAATCTTTGCTTTGCTGTTCTGCTATTCCCTATTGCTTATCATCATCATCATCATTGTCAGCTGTAAGAACCGCGTACTCGTCGTACACTGGTTGTAGCTGCCACAGTTTCGTTCACCGATGATTGGGGGGGTAGGTAGCTGCGCATTGCACGCGCGAGCTGGTAAATTGGTGCATAAATCCAGCACCGTCAGTGGGTTGTCAAGCGGTCGATGCAACGGATGTGTTCATCTATGTGGGCACAAGTCCTTGTGAATTGGCAATAGACGAAGCCACTTACGAAAATGGAAAGACCAGGCCAGTGTTGTCAAACGCCATCATTTGTGCCGCGAGGGTGCTAGCAGCTTCTTTGTCAATGGCAGTTACATTGCTGCTGTCCGATCTGTCCTACCTTATGGATCACAGAGGCGGTTGAAAACTTTACATTCGATTATTAGAACACCTTGAATAAGTGCGCTGGTTTGGTGGGCACTGCAGGTAAGTAATGCCGAAACAGGAAAGATCGTTCTTATGTCAGATATATCAACTAGTTACATCCTACATGTTACGCTGGTCAGGTCACGTAATTAGCCGAGACCTTATGGGGCGGAGATGACCAGAGACGGTCAGCCGATGACTCAGAAATGAAGCATAAAAGACCTTGCAAATCAAGGTTGTCGTATTGCTCAGAGCTGTATCTAGGGATGGGGTCCGAGGAATAAACCACAGGTTAGCGACCCCGGCAGATATGGTTGTGCCACTGAACTAATAGAGGTCCTGCATCAAAGCCACCTTTTTCACTGCATAGCTCTGACTCCCTGCCATACCAGATACACCGTCCTATTTGTTGACCAAGGGAACATTGAGCGATTTTCTCAATCGCGTGACTCATTAGTACCACTCATCCTTCGTGGAAATGCCGAAGCATCCAGCGGCTACAGGCCGATTAGTCTCATTACTGTATAGTGCAAGGTGATGGAACGCAATCTGAAGCGATCCATCTTAGATCAGCTTACTACTAACAACTTGATATCCCAAGTTCAACATAGATTCATCCCAAACCGGTCTTGCGTGACGAGCATGCTCGGACAGCTTAGCCCAAGCCAAGGATTAGTCATACCAGATGCCATATTTTTCGACTTCTCAAAAGCATTCGACCGAGTTCCACACGTCCCACTGTTCAACGAACTCGAGTCTTACGGGGTTCAAGGGGCAGTTCTACGCTTGCTTGAAGTGTTTTTATCAGACGGAACATTCCGAGTGAAGCTAGGCTCGGCGTACTTCTTTTCGGCGCCGGTCTCCATTGGAGTTCCCCAAAGCTATGTTTTGGGACCATTTATGCTTCCGATCTACGTCTAGGACCTTCCAAATGTTCTTTCAAATTCATGTCTACCTTTTGCAGACGACTTGAAATCCTGGAATTCTAACGCAAGCGCCATCAAATTGGATGTAGCTGCTACAAAGCAGTGGTCGCTGGATCGCAACTTTCCTCTGAATGACGAAAAGTGCATCCATGTGTGAATCGGAGGGGACTCAGCGAACGCCATTGTTGTGCACGGTAAATATGGACCGGAAGACATCACGGGGGTAGATGCCAGAAAGGATCTAGGTATCTGGCTGTCTTCAAACATGTCCTCACTGTACTATGAGAATTTGGCATTCGTCGTTCTATGGATTATTCGGTGAACCTTCTCCCGTGCCACTCGCATGGACTGCCAAATGCACTATGGTGCCCATGTCAGACCAATTCTTGAACACTCCGACCAAGTTTTCTACTCAGGACGCACGGTAGCCAGCCTTAAAGTCGTGGACTATGAAACGCGCCTCATGGCGATTGGCTTTCAACAAACTCGGCGATGTTAGACAGTCAGCTTGCCTTGAAAAACCGTCCATAATCGCACTCACAGAGACCTGGTTCACCCCAGATGTCTCCGACGCGGAGATCTCGATAGACGGTTACTTTATTTTTCGAGCTGACTCAAAACGAGGGAGGGCTGGTGGGGTTGCTCTGTACTTACACGCGGCCCTACCAATCCCGATTGTCCTCGCTGACACCACCCCTGCACCCTTCTGCGATGCACCGTGGGTCCAAATCCCGCTGCGCGGGTCCGATTCTCTCCTTCTCGGTGTGGTCTACCGTAGCCCTTCGAGTCCCCCTGAGG